GGGCTTCTGTATTCAAACTTTCACGTGTGGTTAGTAAGGCACCAGTTATAATGAAAAGGGGAAGAAAACTGTGGGAGCCCAACCAACTTTCATCTATTCAGAAAAAAAGAGATATGAGTTCTAAAAGTAGCAGTGAAAAACATATTCTCCTGTAAAATACAGCATGTCTCTCATTTTATGTCTATGTTTCCAAATGAGACCCTCTTTTCCTCCTTTATCTCCTAGGCTCCTAGAAGGTATTCTTGAGGAGAAACTAGTATCTCATGCAATGCCCACAACACCCTCGAGTACTGTAGTAGGATTCTTCTCATTTTATGGAGGCGATTGAACAGCCAGTGTCTGGCAGCATTTATGAGTTCAGGATGGTTTCCTTTAATCACTATCTTTATTAGCAGAAGTGTTCACACAGATTAATGCATTCAACCCTCACAATAACCCAAGGACAAAGCAGTATTACCATTCCCATTTTTTTCTATTGGAGTAGTTCAGGCGGAGGTAACTTTCTCAAGGTCACGATTAGTAAGCGACAGAGGCAGAATCCGAACTCCTTCAAAGTCTGTGTTCTTTCTACCCCACCTTGCTTCCACTCAGCATTTGGGATGCACATTTTTAAAGAGAATCGGTGCCCAACTTTGTGTTTAATAAGGCAAATATAACAAAACCATTCAGAGGACCACAGGATATAATTTTAAGATGTTGTCCTTTTACTGAATAGAAAGGGTAGAGAAGGCACGGTGCCAACAAGGATGAGAACGGGGCTCAGTTTTCAAAGAAGGCATTGTGGCAAAGGGAGCCTGTCACCACATAGGGGATGGAAGGCTATGCCAGGCTGCTAGGAGAAGGAAGTTTGTATCAAATACAATGCTGATGGCTGCAAGCAATGGAAAACTTCGGTAAAGAACTTAAATAGTTCATTTTCCCTCATAATAGGAGGTCTAGTGGTGGGTGGCTCGGATGCTGGCTCAGCTGCTCAGTGATGCCAGGAGAACCCAGGCTCCTTCTGTCCCGCATGCCCACCCCATACCACGCTGACCTTAGCAGGCAAGTCTGCAGACGCCAGCCACATCCATCCTAAGTCAGGAACCAAATAGGAGAGGCTGCACCAGCCACACTGGCCCCAGGACCAGCAGGAAAGCAAAAGCTTTCCCAGGCCTCTGCAGCCCCCAGCTGACTTCCACTGAGGTCCCACTGATCAGCACCGCGCATCACGGCCACCGAGCAGCAACAAGGCAGGTGGAGCAAGAGCTTTCCTGGGCACTTCCCTCCCTGCCTCCCCAGCAGAACACAGCCCTTCCTGGGGGTGGGGGTGGGGGACGCCAGAAAGAGAGTAGCCTTGGTTAGGGGACGGGTGTGGAGAGCAGTTAGGGCAGCGGGCTATACTTGGGAGAAGGAAGAGGACGCCCATGTGGTGACAGGTGGAACACCATCCTGCCCTTTGTCTTGTCATTACGTTTAAGTGGCCCCACAGCATCACACCAGAACCTAACCTTTCTTTCTTCATCCTGTTCTTGACTCTCTTCATTCTTGCTGTCTCAATCCCAGGCCAGTAGCCCTTGGGACTAAGCGGCATTGATAATAAGCAGATCATCCGACTCACACGATTTTGTGTTTTTTATGTTGGAGACACTCGAGGTTGAACTCAGGGTCCCTTGCATGCTAGGCAAGCACACTACCACTGAGCTACATGTCCAGCTCATTGTTTTTGTAACCTTAGCAGATAGGCGTTAAATAAATGACTACTTCATCAAGGGGATGAGGAAATTCTAGGTAGATATTAGCTGGTGAGGGCCCTGGCCAGGCCAAAAATTTTCACTTCTTCAGAGGAGAAACCACTCAGGAGCCCCTGGAAAGAGTCCGAACACCACTGTTACCAGACCCACATGTACAAATGTTGGCTCGGTGACTCAGCTTCAGACAGGAGGAATCTGAAGTGGTCAATGACTCTGGGTCTTGGGAACTTGCACTCTGAAAACAGCACTGTGTGGCCTTGTGCAATTCCAGCTCCATGGCTTCCTTCTTTCTCTCTGCAGAGCCAGCTTTCCCAGGCACTGAATGGACTTTCCGACAGGGCCAAAGAGGCCAAGGAGTTTCTGGTGCAGCTCCGCAACATGGTCCAGCAGATCCAGGTACCCACATAGCCCGAGACCGAAGGCAAACCCTGTGGGCCAATGTGTAACTGGTGGGGAGTTTGCTTCTTCTGTTATGTTTATGTGTTCTGGAAAATTCCTGTGTAATTTTTTCCTGCCCCCTCTTCTGTCCACACAAACTCACCTACAGACCAACTGCAGACACACCCCTTCTTGAGGTGGTGGCCTTTTGCCAACAACCGGAAACACACCCTAGTTTTCCAAATGATTCCTGTCTTCCACACCGAGGTCCTAATTCTCTGCTGTCATGTATTTAGAAAGGACTTTTTCTTTGTGAATTTAAGTTGTTATCCCTGAATTTTTAAAACCTTATGGGTACTACAAATGTGTTATAATTGTTACATCATATTTAATATTAATGGGTCACACTGGCTCTTCTTTTTTCTTCTTTTCCTTCTTCCTTTCTGTTTTCTTTGCTTTCTTCCTGTCCTATAATAACACTTCTCCTCAACTTGGATACTTTCCAGCCATGATCCCCTGGTGACTTAATTTCAGATTGCTTTATCAGGACACAGTGACTAGCAGGTCAGCCAGCATTTGAGAATTCTTAACTTCCCTACTGTAGCTGAAAGGGAGGAGTATTAAATGTGTGAGATCCTAAAATAATGACTCTCTCTGTGAGGTTACCATTCTTATGTTTTGAGGTTTGCCTCACAGAAATACCCTTAGCTCTGGCCTCCAGTAAATTGGCTGAGTTAATATTTAGCCCATGTCAAGGCAGAAATGGATTTTTAAATGTAAGCCAGTCTTTCAAAGCTTCACACACTGATTTCTTTGCTTTTGCCTTTTTTTGTTGTTTTTTTGGCATGCATGCCCAGGTTAAAACTTTTCATTTCCTAACAGTTTTGTATGCTTCCTTCTGTTTTTCAAAGCAATGGAATTTATCAATCAGTCCTTTCTTTGCTTTTGCTGGCATAAAATGTACAGCCCCAGGCTTGCCTCTGCCTTGTTCTTCACAGAGCAAGCTTTCTTTCTGCACCAGAACAGTGCCAGAGCCTTCCAGGGCGAAGGAAGACTTCTTCCTCTCCCCTCACTCTGCACAGGATGCAGACAGCTCTTAAACGATGCTTTCCAAGGGCCTTCTCTGAGAACTCAGAAGCACTTCCCTTGAGAGCCAAAATTCAACATCCATAGTATACCTAATAGGAAGATCTTTCATTTGAAAAAAGTTGACATATACATCCATTTACTATTATACAGAGATCCAATTCTTTTCTGGCTTTGGAAATTAAATTTGATAGACTTAAGTGGCTCTTTTCTTGCACCCCCCCCCCAAGTTTACTGTTTACCCAATTAAGTGCAATTTTTAAAGTTCTATTAATATTTATGTGAGTAGTTAGCACTCATTTACTGTAAATTATAGTTTTTTGCTTATGATTTAAGAATCAAAATTGCTTATATTACTTATTTAAAAGAATATCTTTAATAAATCCCTATAATCCAGGGAGAGAATTGCTTCAATAGGTATGTATATATTTAAATCAACTGAAATTTTACACCCAGCATTTATTGAATCTAAACATTGTGGGGAAGCTCTCGTTCATTTCCTATCTGATGTTACAGCAGGGGGTGCCTGTTACAAACATTGTTTGCACACCACTCTGCTTCCCTTAGTGGAAGGGGCCCCCACTTTTGCCCATTATTCTTATGTCTTATTGACTTGTGCTGTCATTGGATTGTTGTTTAATATTCAAAACCACTGCTATCCTCTGTCTCTTTCTTCCACTGAATTTCATGATTCTTTCTCTCCCCACCTCGACCATGCTCCACTCCTCCTGTTTGCCATGCCCCACCATCTCCATGAGCCCTTTTGGCCCCGAGGGACTTGTGTGCCACTCTACACATTGAGGCCTTGTTTTACTTCCTATCATCCACACTGTGGAGATGACTTTCTCTCCTGAGAATGAATTTATGTAACAAAATCTCCCTTTCCATCTAACTTTAAAGCAAAACATGGGCACAGTACAATGTAGTGTACCCGGCTGCTTTAACCACATGTGCTTTGTGGACAGGGTTCCTTCCCGGCCTCCACACCACTCTCAGGGTCTGTTTGCCCCCAGGGCCTTGTGCCTGAGCCACATGCTCTCTCATGCAGGAGAACAGCGTGGAGTTTGAGGCCTGTCTGGTGGCCCAGTGCGACGCCCTCATCGATGCCCTCAACAGAAGGAAAGCGCAGCTGCTGGCCCGGGTCAACAAGGAGCATGAGCACAAGCTGAAGGTGAGTGTGGCCCCCAGAGTGGGGCACAGAAGCCATAAGCCAGGTTCAAGGCCAGAAAAGGACAGGCACAACCCTTATCCTGCCCTCCTGCCCTCATTTTCCTATCCAGTGTGTGTGGAGTGAGTCCTCTGGGCTCTGGTCTGGGTACAGAAAAAGCAATCCAAATCCTTGCCTTCTTACATTCTGCAGGAAGGATAAGCAGTAAGCAAGATAAGGAAGGAAGGAAAAGAGGCAGTTATGTTAGTAAAAAGTGCTAAGGGAAAGAAATGGGCAGGAAATGGAGACAGTGAGTGCCAGGGATGAGGGCTGAAATTTTAGATGAGGTGGCCAGGGTGGCCCACACAGAGGCACAAGTATATTTCTGAACAGAGAAATGCAATCTGTACTTTCTAGAAAACAAAATGTGTCAACTTTTGAAGTGAACTTTGCAATCAGACAGCAGTACTGAGCTTTGTCACCACTCGGTGACCTCTACTGATTCTAAGTCTGGGGCCCTATTGGCAGCACTGGTCCTCTGGAGACATCTGCTGCCCTTCCATCGCCCTGCGGGAGGTGGGTCATAAGACTGAGAGCAAGGGGTGGTGGATGGGCAGTGAGCTGAGGACCACACCCATGGTCAGCCAGCCTCAGGGGGGGCGCCAGTGCGGGGTGGGGGTGGGGGCTGGTGCTCAGTGTTGGTCCCAGCCTAGGGAAGGAGACGTGAGGGCAGGCTGTCAGCATCAGGAAGTTCAGTCACAGGATGGGCCAAGCAGTGGATCACAGTCCAGTGAGTGCAGGCATCACCTAGCAGCTCTGTAACAGGCAACAGACCCTGGAGAGCAAGAGGAGGCCAGTTTGTAAAGTCTGAGGTTCTTGTAGGTGAACCAACAATGAGTTTCAAGAATGAAGAAATGAGAGAACATGGCTTGCAAGACTTGGGGCTAAACCTTGGCAGCAAGGAAGCTTTGAGCAGGGCCAGTACCCAGTTTGTGATTAGCAGGCAGACACCAAGGCAAGGAAGCAGTTAGTATGAACTGGGGCACCAGGCACAGACAAAGCCTGCAGCAAGGTCAGCAAAGCCCTGAGCAGCAGAGCTGCCAATCTTTAGGTGCCCCGCCTTCATACCAGGACCCTGGGGCCCAGGGACCCCTGCTAGGAAGTCAGGGAGCCTGGAAGCACCCTAAAGAAAACTCTTTCCCCAGGGAAGGTTCACTGTTCATTCCACAGAACAAAACCCCTACGGTGGCTGCTCCTCTAAGACTCCTTCCTCCATGCCCACCTGCAGCTCTTCAAAGCACTTTGAGATTCACACACCTGCTTCTTCCTTCCCCCAAGGAAAGGTGGTAATGTGGCAGCAGTACAGACCTTTTCTTCCTGCTTTTGTGAATTGCCAGGCTGTCATGGGGGAGGGCAGGGGTGGAAATGAGGCAGGCAAGAGGCTAAGCTGTGACAACAAGCTCCAAGCCAGAAGGGTTCATGAGGCCTTCACCCCATGATGCAGTTTGCCGACCTGACCTCCAGCTGGTGTTTTATCAGTGCCATGCCTCTTGGGTGTTCCAGTTAATCAGCAACAGCACAATTGCATCGGAATGGATTTCTAGAAAAAGAAAGTTGTATGTCTTAAAATCGGAATAGGAACCCTAAGTTAGGGATGAAAAGTGCCCAGGGTTCTAATGTTCAAAGAGCCCTAGCTTATTGCTTTGGGCAGCAAACAAAGGCTGGCAATCCTAATGGTCCTTCCAGAGTGGCCATTAATGCTTCCTAGTGATGCATCTAATAGGAGACCTTCTCAGGTTCACCTTAGAAATAAATCAAGTGTGAGGGGACAGCGCACCAACCTCAGCTGCATGGAGCCTTCAAACTGGGGGTGATAAACCGGCCTTGGACTTTCCCAGGAAGGCACCCCCACAGCCTGTGCATGTGCAACCCACAAAGTGCCCAGTGACAGGAAGCTTTAATGGGATGGCCCTCTCCCCAGATCCTCAGTTTCTAGCCTCTGTCTCCCAGTGTCTATGATCCAGTTATTGCCTTTGAATTTCTTAAAGGGCCACCAACTGCTTTATGCCAATATGTGTACTGATTTATAAAATGTCGGGGTAACCTGAAGGTGGTATTAAAGGTATTTATGATTTTTACCCAAAGAGTTTCCTGAAAGTTTTTCATGTGGATACCAGTCTTATAGATTTATTTGCAATGATCAGGAAAATGGTTCTACCCCCCAGAAAGTCTTCATCCAAGGAACTCAGGTTAGGTCTCAATGCAAATTCTTTTCTACAGTCAACATTTTAAAATCTGAATTAAAATCTGGAAAAGCGATGGCGTGTGATTCTGCAGCCACCCAGGCAGTAACACAGAATGAACATCTGTGGTGATCAAGTCTCAGCTGTGATTGATAATAGCATAGCAAACGTTTGAGGACACTTTCAGATAATACTACATGAGGTATGATAGACAAATATTATGTTTAAATTTTTTAAAATTTACTACACTAAAAGACATGGCCATTAACCCCCCTCAAAATATTCCCCCTTGCTCAAAAACACATACCCCATTGTTCTTGCCGTTTTCTGGAGCATTTTTGAAGGCCCTTTGTGTGTCTTTAGCTGTGCTGTCGTGGCTGCCTTCATGTCCTGAATCCATTCAAAACGTTTCCCTTTGACGGTCATTTTGACTTTAGGAAGAGCCAGAAGTCGCACAGTGCCAGATCCGGTGAATAAGGTGCATAAGGACACAGCGTCACGTTTTTACAAGCCTGCCTTTCAGTTGGATGGCACTTGGCAGCGGCAGTATCCACCATATATTTTTGATCACACCTCATAAAGACAGGTGTGCCCTGTGGCTAGTCCTGCAAATCAGTGGATGTCTTCTGTCTTCATTACCTGCTCTAATATGGCTAGAAGATTTTAGCACTCTTCAGAAAAACAGACTTTTCCTGCTATAGTCATCCTTTAAATATTTGAGTCACGTAGAGCTGCGTAAAATAAAAATGGACGTGGCTCTGGGAAATGAACTGGACATCTGGAGTTTTCTGTTTAGCAGTGGCAGAACTATTTACATATCCAGCCATAAAAGTTTAACTTTTTCTCAGTGGAAATCTCTTGTAAGACCTCGCTAACGCTTTCTGGCGCCAGCCCACCAAACCACAGCTGGGCTGCCGCGGTCGGGGACAGTCCGTGAAGGGTGGGGGCCGCGCAGGGCAGCCAGATGCACACGGGCCACGGAGCACAGGCTCCCGCCTGCCCTTCTTCCTCCCCGCCCGGGCCTCAGAGAATCACAGGAAGGAGAGGCAGGTGGCTGGTTGTCCCCCACGGCGGCAAAGCTGCTCTGTCTTCCCTCTGGAGCGCTTTGTTTCCCTACTGTTTCCAGAGGATTGTATCTGTCACTGCTTCTGAAAACAGCCCGCAAAAGCCCAGCCGCCGCCAGGACCTCGGATAGGGGCCTCCCTCCGCGTCTCCCTCCCTCTTCTTTTGTTAACGTCTTTTCCTCCTGTCACTTGTGTTGCTGCTGAGATTTGTGAGGAAAGACTGGCCTTTTATAGACAGCACTTGCCAAGCGCTGTAGTTCTTCCTGTCTTCGCGGTCTCACCCCCCCGCGCTCCCTGCACTGCAGCATTCTCGTGTTCTTCCGCCTTCCCTTGGCTGCTTTGGGGGGGGGGCTTTTGCTGACAAAGGAGACTCTGTGTGTGTGTGTGTGTGTGTGTGTGTGTGTGTGTGTGTGTGTGTGTGTGTGTGTGTGTTTCTGGCAACTTTCTCTCCTTGAACAATGATGCTGGAA